GGGGGGGGAAGGTGAAGGTGAGGATGAGGGGGGTTGCAGCAGTGACATCTGGGCCAGGGGAGGGGCAGACTGATCAAATCTACTGAAGAACAGATTCAGATCATTCACCCACTTCTGGTCACCTCTGGCCTGGGAGTCTGGTTGTTTGTGTCCTGAGATGGTTTTCAGACCTCTCCAGACTCCGCTGACGTCGCTCTGCTGCAGCTGTTCCTCCATCTTCTTTTTAAATCCTTCCTTTCCCCGCCTGATGTTTCTCCGTAGCTCCTTCCACACGGATTTCGGAGAAGCAGCGTACAGTCCTGGTGGGTACGGAGTTTTCCACACAGAAGTTTATGTAGTTCGTAATGCATGATGTCATACTGTCAATGTCTTCGCCATGGGAATCGCTGAGTACCTCCCACGCAGTGGCCTTGAAGCAGTCTTTCAGGGCCTCCTCGGCCTCCTCAGACCATCTTTTCATATGCAACTTTTCGTATGCGATTGGTGTAGTATTGTAGTATAAAAAGTGCAGGTCCATCCATTTACCATTTATCTTTGACCATCAAAATATAATCAGTTCATCGCTGAGTATAAATATATGTTTGTGCCAGATTTGAAAAATAAGAAAATAGAAAAAATCCATCAGGGTGTTCTTGAGATATTGCATTCACAAGACAGATGAGATCACAGTGACCTTGACCGTTGACCTATGACCTCCAAAATCAGTTCATCGTTAAGTCCAAGTGTGCCATGGCTATCACTGCTTAGGAAGCATCAAAAAAGTATGAATGAACTACTGTTAAGAACTAGTGTTGAAATCAAAGTATCATGATTGGCACTGGTATCAGTAATTGTGGGGTGATACCGTGGCCCACAATGCCAGCTCTATCTTACTTTGAAATGAGGAGAACTTCAAAAATCGTTAAAGTTACTTGCTGAAAGGGCTCAAATGTTGCAGTGAGAGTTCATAGTGGTATTGTAGAAGAGTACCTTGATGCCTCCTTTGGCTTTGCGTATGTTCTTCCTCTTGCTGGGATCAGCTTCAGCTGGCTGCTTGCCACTGTTGGAGTTATCGGAAGTTCTGCGAGCCAGAGCTGCAATGAATTGAGAGGACACAGCATAAGTAACTTCAATTATTACATGCATACAAGCATAAAATGAGATTAGGACTAAAAAAGAGCTTACAATATGTATAGGTTTGCAGCCTAGGGTGTCAATCATGTCATGGACAGTAAGAGTTTATAGAGTTTCAGTCTCTTACACCAGACTCATCATCTGCTGTATAAATTAGTGAGTTAAAACAACATCTAACTCACGCTGCTGGCTCCCTGTAGTCCTGGGAGTGTTCTTCAGAGAAGGCCGTTTGGGAGAGGACTCAGGCCGAGGGGCAACAGGCTGGACGGGCCTCGTCTGTTTAGCTGACAGCCTCTTCAGACTGACGTGTCGCTTCTGAAACATCTCCTGGACATCCTCAAGGCGCTTCAGTGCCTTCAGGACATTGGCCTGCAGGCAGAAAGATCACTATCAATCCTTGTCATCATTTTTTTTTGCAAGAGAATACTACATCCTGTAAACTACTGTGTATGTGTACCATACCTTGATATCCTCGGACAGGACAACCTCATACTGGTTATGAAGGTTCCTCAGTTCAGTCAGTTGGTTCTTTTCTGCCGACTCCAGAAAGTGTTCAATGTCAGTCAGTGCTGACTCTGCCCCTTCCTGTGACTGACATTTATCCACAGCCTGGGAGGCCAGCAGGTAGATGCCAGACTCACACCACTGGTTTACCTGTACACAACACAAATTCAAACAAGGAAAATTTAAAGGTAGCTACCACCATCCCTTCCCATGTGGTGACTCATGGGAACTTCAATTACATTCCATCACTTTTTCTGCATTTTAGTGATACATGATCACAGGAGGAAAATTTACATGCAGAAGAGGAATAAAAGCTTTATACTGAAAAACAAATAGGTATGTAAACAGAAATGGAGAAAACACTGTCCAGTAAAAACTACACTGAACATCTTCAACACCTCCATATTCAATTTATGGACTTAACTTTAATGGGATTTCTGGATAATTAGGTCCTCAGAAGCCATTCAGTAATGTCTTATTGCCATTTGGTTTGCCGACATAAGAAGCTGCCTGGTGGAACTCTAGTTATGGGTCAGATTATGAGCAACAAAGGTTGGGGTTACATATTTGTAAAACATTTTGGCAATAAAGTCTGACATCTTATTAAATGAGCGATCCAGATTATTTAAACTATGAGTGCACTTGAGATGTTGGTAGCAAAAAACTAGAATCACTGCTTGGAGATTGTATGCCCCTGTGCACCAGTCAAGTTGCACTTACAGTTAACATGAAAACATGGATGCTTCACACACATTTTCAACCCATCAGCACAGAAGATCTATACAATCAGCACAATTTCAAGGAAGACACCCAAAATTAGTGTCACCAATTCAGTATCTGAATTCTGAACAAATGCCTTTCCTTCTGTTCCTACGTTATGATGTTGAATTATGACCAGATAAGTTTTTTTGCAGAATATAATGACGTCACAGTGAAGCTGAACTTTGGGCTATAAAATGTCAGCACTTCTTCATTACATTCTATTAGAACTACAAATTTTGTCACAATTTGGATATGAATTCTAGAGTCACAGCCAAAGACATGTTTTGTGAGGTCACGGTGACCTTGATCACCAAAATCTGATCAGCACATCCTTGTCTCACAGTGGACATTTGGGCCAAATTAAAAGAAATTCCCTCAAGGTGTTCTTGAGACATCACGTTCACATGAATGGGATGGATGAACAATTGGAAAACACAATGCCTCTGGTTACTGCTGTCCCTAGCGCAGAAGCGTAAAAACTGGAAAGGGTGGGGAAAAAAAGAACAGAAAAGAAAATGGAACAGTACATGGAACTTGTAGATGTTTCGTTTGTTTTTTTTGGAAGACGACACATTTTGAACAGATTCTGATTCTTATGTTTTGTCACATTGCTCTAATTTAATTACATTAGTTGATTTTTTGCCTTATGAAGGTGTTATGGCAAAAGTGTTAGTATATTGTTGAGGTCCTGGTTTGCAGCAAAAGAATTATTGTGTTAATGCAGACTTCTGTTTTGTACATGAATGGTCATTCTGTTTTGCATTGCAGGCCAACTTGCAGCAAGTTATGTGCAATAAGATCTTAAACAGTGAAATGACATGTCAAACACATAGAAATAGAAATAGAATAGCTGGAAATACAGTTGAATATAGGCAAGACAATGATTGGGGCACTAATACTGTTTGAATGTGGCCACAGCAACAGGGTGGCATATTCGTAAGAACCATGTCTGCCACCCCACCTCATTCTCGAAAAGGCTGAATCAATATACAAATTGCTTATCAGTATTTCTATATGGCCTTATGCTGTCTAGCTGCTGTTAGCCCAGGGAGGGACCACAAGCTCTGTTATGCATATCTTTTTATATATTTATATACTGCTTTGTGACTGTTTACTTACGTACTATATCTCAGTTTTTGTTTTTATTGTTGCCTCTAGCTAATGCACCATTCCCTTAGCTACTGTAAAACTGCACATTTCCCTGCTGTGGGACTAATAAATCTTATCTTATCTTTGGCTTCTACATGCAGAAAGCAAATAGCAATGATGCTTTGAGAGAACATATTAAAAAAACTAGAATTTTTGCCGGTTATCATCAGTTGTATGCCTCTGTGTACCAGTTAAGTTTCTCTTACAGGTTACATCCATGTCTGTGAAAACACATTGCACGCCTGACAGCACAAAAGATCTATACAATCAACACAATTTCAAGGTGGGCACCCAAAATAAGTGTCACCAGTTCAGTATCTGATCAAATGTCTCCACTTCTGTTTCTGAGATATGATGCTAAGTAATGGACAGAAAAGTGTTTTATGTAAAAAATGATGATGTCACAGTGAAAGTGATCTTTGACCTTTTAGATATAAAATGTCAACACATAATTATTTTATCCTGTTAGACATTTGTGTGGGGGCGGCACGGTGGTGTGGTGGTTAGCACTATCGCCTCACAGCAAGAGGGTTCCCGGTTCAATCCCGGGTGTGGGAGCCCTTCTGTGCGGAGTTTGCATGTTCTCCCCGTGTCAGCGTGGGTTCTCTCCGGGCACTCCGGCTTCCTCCCACAGTCCAAAAACATGCAGAATGGGGACTAGGTTAATTGATAACTCTAAATTGTCAGTAGGTGTGAATGTGAGCGTGAATGATTGTCTGTCTCTATGTGTCAGCCCTGCGATAGTCTGGCGACCTGTCCAGGGTGTACCCTGTCTGGCGACCTGTCCAGAGTGTACCCTGCCTCTCGCCCAATGTCAGCTGGGATAGGCTCCAGCCTCCCCGTGACCCTCAAGAGGATGACGCGGTTAGAAGATGGATGGATGGATGGACAGATGGACATTTGTGTGATGTTTTGTCATAATTAGCATATAAATTCTTGAGTTATGGTTGAAAACATATTTTGTTAGGTCACACCAACCTTGACCTTTGACCTTCGACCACAAAATTCTAATCAGTTTATTCTTCAGTCCAAGTGGATGTTTGTATCAAATTTGAAGATATTCCCTTAAGGTGTTCTTGAGAGATCCTGTTCAGGATAATAAGACAGATGCAAGGTCACACTGACTTTGACCTTTGACCTTTGATAGCCAAATCTAATCAGTTCATCCTCAAATCCAAGTAAAAGTTTTTGCCAAATTTGAGATAATTCTATCATCTTAACCTTAGACCTATGACCACCAAAAACTAATCAGTTCATTGTTGAGTACAAGTGGACATTTGTGCCAAATTTGAAGAAAAAATTTACTCAAGCTGTTCTTGAGATATTTGGGTCAACGGTAGATTAATGCAAGATCACAGTGACCTTGACCTTTGACCACCAAAATCTCATCAGTTCATTGTTGAGTCCAAATTAATGTTTATGCTAAATTTGATGAATTCCATTGCAGCATTATTGAGAATCACATTCTGAGAATGAGACAGACACGGTCACAGTGACATTGATCTTTGACCTGTGACCACCAAAAAGTTTATCGTTTAGTCCAAGTGGACATTTGTGCCAAATTTGAAGAAATTCTCTTGAGGTGTTGAGATATGGATGAGATAAGGATGGACGGATGAATGGATGAACAACCTGAAAACATAATGCCTTCTGCCACAGCTATTGCTGGCGTGGAGTCATAAAATGCAAGATTAAATTCTTGTTGCCTTTAGGAAATAGAGGTGTCAAGATGGTCTTAAAAGTTAGATGTTAAGTTGACGACAATAAAGGAAACCACCAACTAAAGCTGCCATAATCAATATAATCAATTTATATCAACAACAGGTAAAACTACTGTATAATGTAAAAGGGGTCGGTCACTGTGATTGACTCATTACTTCAAGCACTTCCATTCAGAACTCCACAGCCTTTTAGTGTCTTTCAGCTCATTGTATTGGTTTTATGGTCTGCAAATTTACTTTTTAGCTGCTATTAGCTAGAGCTCACTCTGTTGGTTGGTCAGTCAGTTAAAAAAGGCCTCTAACATTGAAATGGATTCACAGTCTTACCGTAGATTTTGTGGAAAGCTTGGTCATAAGCCAAAGGACACCAAAAAAATGCCAAAAAAGGGCAATGTATGGATCCATGCACATACTTGGTCTAAGTCACTGCAAACACTTGTTTAGTTTGGTCTCACTACTCTCATTAAGCTTGTTTTATGCTTTAGGTAAAGCACTTTGAACTAATGAAATGTGTTACACAGATAAACTTGCTTTGTCTTGCTTCCAGCAGAAGGCAGCTGTTTTCAGCAAACAAGCTTTGATAAATCCACTGTACACTACCTGCCCAACACTAAATGGCAGACAGGCAAAGTTACTAGGGACCTAAAAAGCCAAATATATAGAGATAAAAAGAGAGTTAATCCTGGACTTACATTTATTAGGTTGCCAGTGTCTGTTGGATGTATAAAAGGGCAACCGTTTGCGAGCTCATTTGCCATAAGAACTTCATTAGATAATAGATAGTGAGTGTGTTTTTATTGCTTCCCCCAAGTTGCCAAAGAAATCAGTTAATACCACTTTAAAGAAGTGTTAAAATCCCAACAAATTACCATCCTTAACTATGCTAACAGCATGGCTCTGGGGATGGCAATGGCTTGTCAGTCCACTATTTTCATCCACAAATTTATATCAACAAATACTGAAAGGAGTGAATAATTCAAAATTTGTTGTGACTTTCCCATGAAACTCATTGGTACTTTGTGCTTGGTTTCAAAAAGCACATCAGCACAGGGAAATGCTATACTAAAACGGTGACCATTGCAAGTAATATATCTGCTAATACCATGTTAACATTGTCATTGAGAACATGTTAAGGCTCATTTATACTCCCTTTACATATGAAAATAGATACATCCATTTCAAATGTGATAAATGTCACTGCCCTGATACTTCCATGCATTCTTTATGATGGCATAGATACAGCCAATAGATGGCACTAGAGGGCAGAGACAGAAGTTACACACAAGAAATGAGGCAAAAGCGGAGAAGGTCATAATAATGTATCTTTAAGGCAACATGGTGCTGGTCTGAGTGGCCATTATATACTTCCCAACATGTGGACAGAGAATTCTTTTCACTAAATTCACTATATATTAGTATATATTATTAGGGATTTGTTTTGTTCCACTATTATTTAAATGTCTTCATCGTCTCCTATGGTTGTATCTCACTTGAACTACACCACATTGCCTCCATGATCTCCTGTGGTACTGCTCTGTTTCTTCAAAATCAGTAAGCTTTAAGGAAAGGTGCAGAAATATAGACGAAATGAATGCACAGTACATGTAAATCTGAATGGCTCATTCTAAGGCAACGAAAACACAGCAGTTCTTATTTTTAGGTGATTATAAACCAATGAAAACATAGTTATGAATATTATATTCCATTTCTGCCAATAGATGCCTCTAGATCCTACACACTGGACCTTTAAAGGCAGGTTATATAAAAGCAAAGTAGAAATTGAGTGAGGCTTCTAATAGTGAATTAAGTATCATTACGTCTGAAAATTGTGATTTAGGAGATTAAAACAGAATCAGCAGCCTTCTTTTTCATCCACAAATGCAATGACAGATGATGTTAGTGAAGGTAATCTAACTTTGTGGATGTGACATCTGTAGATGTGTTTAAGTCATATCATATCATATCATATCATATCATATCATAACATATCATATATCCTCACCTTATCAATTCCCATGTGTATCTGCAGGGATTTGGACAAGACATCCGTCTTTTTCTTGGACTCATTGCTGAAGTCGTCAAAGACCCGTCGGAGCTCCACACATTTGGGTCGTATAGAGTCCACAGCGTAGTGATTGCTCTGGATCAGCTGGTCACCGTGCAGTGCATGGAGCTGGGCCTTTTCTAGTGTGGGCTGGCAGAAAAACAATTCAGAATATATCATCACATTTTAAGTTGTGTGAACAACTTAAAATGTGATGATAAGTTGTGTGAACAAAATTTTTGGGGTGTCCACAGTCAGCTGTGTCTACAGAGGTAAGTATATAGAGATGGGTACTACTGACACTTGGCAGCTATTTACAAAGCTTACAAAATATAAATTTGTGATGATTGCTTTCTGTTCAAGGGTTAAAAGCCAATAGACCTATAAAGTTGGTGTTATGACTGAGCTTGTGCTAAGTGGTTTTGTAATGGAGCATTGCTTTGACAATGAAGGCCTATTTTCTATTAGATTTCTGATGGCAAAGTTCCAGTTAAGTCTACAGTTTGTGTGTTTAACATTCCAGAATAATGGGTGTCATGAGGTCAGTGCAGTCGTGAGTGTTTTTGGGTTAACATAAGTATATGGATAAGGATAAGGATAAAGATAAGGATAAGGTACTTACTGGACCTCACTGAGTGGAAGAAAACATGAAACTATAATCTGTGATGTCACCACACATTACTTGAAGTGTATGGATTTACTGATTACTATAGTCTTGGCTTTTACTGGAACCAATGGCAGTGAAGTAAGCTGCAGAAGGATGAAGAAGCAATAGTCACTACCAAATCATTGGAATGCTTGCTATAAGCACTTTGTAGGAGAGGAGGGGAGTGTTTGGAGGGCCTGCTCTCTCTAAAGCAGAAAGTGAGCCCTTCTGAGTGATTCAAATTGCCACCTCAGAAACACTGTGAACACACATTAATATACAAATGCTGTTATTGGCTATATATGCCCTCGAGAAGGCAAACCCATCTCTGTCAGTTTTTTTTCTTTTGAAAAATAGTCAGTAGACTATTGCACTGATGATTGATAATATGTATATTGATGTATTTGATCACTTAACAAAACTATGAAATATATGGAAGCTGTTTTGACACAAAATCAAGCACTAGGCCCATCATAACTACCATGCACCACTGACTTTGACTATAGATGAAATTGCCTGTTTTGTGTGTGTGTGTGTGTGTGTGTGTTTTGACTGACCAGAGCCTTCTCCTCCAGTGCTTTCAGTTCCTTCAGCAGGTGTTCAACTCTGATTACACAATCGCCAATATCTGATAGGTTGGTTAGACTGTCCATCAAACTATCCAGAGACACTTTGACCTAAGAACCAAAAAAGGGACAGAAACAGAGACTGAGAAAGAACAAAGAAAATTATTATATCACCCATTTACCCACACTGTCATTATATTTCTTTCGTCATACATACAGCAGTAAGACACCTAACATAAGTTTTTAGAACATGGGATGTCTGGCAGGATGTGAAACTGAGTCATTGTATTTACAACTTCCAAAGTGACTCAAACGGTCAGTGTTTTTCAAACTATGATTGTACAGCTGAATTCTTTTGAAGCTGTATGAAGAGGAGACACTGGTGAGATCCAAAGGTTCCAGGCCAAAGGCAGTGGGCCAACAGAGAGACAGACAGATCTACAGATATACCTCTCTGAAGTCTTGTTCAAAGTGGCGTAGCTGCAGGCACTGCTCCAGTTTCAGATGGTGTTTACACCAGAACTGTTCAAAGGCGTTCTCTGTCTCATCCAGCTGGGCTAGGAGTCTGACACACACAAAAGGAACTTCATTACAAACACACTGAGAGTTACTGCAGGGATACACTGCCATGATATATACTGAGATGCATTATATAATGTAGGAGAAAAGCTTTGTTACCTTTCCACAGTGGTTTGGTTCTCCAGCTCATCTGGGTTGAGTTTGTGGTTCTCTGACTTGGCTGCCTGCTCCTTGATACAACCTAACAAGGTAGTGCCCTGCTTCAAAGCAAGCTTCAGTTCATCCTGGTTTACAGACACAGAGGCATTGGAAATAACATTAATATCATCTGTAACACAGCACATAAATATGTTTGTGTGTGAGGCTCTATTTACACCTATGACTGAACATGCTATCCCCATTTGGTATCTCATTTTGATGATAACCATGGACTAGAAGAAGGCATCATGAAGCAAGGCTGGCATTTGTAGCTGGGGTTTGTTTTTTCAATTGTTGGCTACTGGAGCTTCACAGTTACATATTTAGTTTCACCCCAACCAGTGTGAAAATCTTTGCTGCATCACATACTTCCCATTTTAGTTTGTGCTGGTGCCTTAAATGTACTAAATCACCTTCAGGTTGCCGTGTTTGTTGGTGTGTGAGGTGAGCAGGTCTTTGGTGCACTGGACATCATTGGGCAGCTCTGTCTCTGCCAGGTCTGTCCCAAACTTCTGTAACATCTGGGCTGTGCTTTTCACTGTCATGGCAAAGTTCTCTATAGCCTAGAGAAAAAGATCCACATGTGACCCAGAAGCATCCTAGAATTCAACTTTGTTTTGGAAAGTCACTGGTATTATTAGTTATACAGTATTTTGTAGTGTGTATTTACTCACGGTTCGGTGGTGGATCCACTGGCTGTGACAGTATTCCAGGCTTCCTCCTAGCTCCCGGGTCAGCTGGGCTTTATCCACATAACAGTGCAGGTCCGACAGAGAGTTTAACATCACAATCTGAAAACACATTGAATATATCACTTCAGTCATCAGTTCAGTCAGGAAGACTGAACTTATTTATTGCTTAGGTCTGTAATTTGTTTCTCTTATCATTTGCCATTCACTCCTCACATGCATGTTCACTCATAATTTCATGCTGTTATTGTGTGGGCCTGTCAATGGAGACATCAGTTGTTCCCTCAGCTGAACATGGTTAACCAAAAGCACAACAACACACCTTCTCTGCTGGTCTATCATTTTGCTGCTTATTGTTTTAAAAATGGTTCTCTTTCTATCTGTCAAAAAAGATGCTATTGAGGTGCATTATGGGAGGAGGTGGATGCAGTGTTTCTGGAGTGTGTCTTAGCTTCTGCATCAGTTTTGACAACGATGGAATTTTATATCCTGTTGATTGAGACAAATCTGAAGCAGTTCTATATCCTGAAAATAAATTAAACACAACTCTGTTGTCTTCAGATGCAGCCTGACAAAGAATCCAAAGGTTGAATTGGGTGTAACAGGAACTTGCTTTATGTCTCCTGGCCTGTTTCCCTATATACAGGTTTGGGTGATTTCGGTTTGGTTATATACACCGATCAGCAAAACCATTAAAACCACTGACAGGTGAAGTGAAGAACACTGATCATCTTGTTACAATGCAATGTTTTGCCGGGAAACCTTGGGTTCTGACATTCGTGTGGATGCCACCTGACACGCTCCACCCACCTAAACACCAGTGCAGACCAGACACCCCCCATTATGGCAACAGCATTCCCCGTTAGCTGTGGCCCCCAAGCAGGACAATACACCATGCTACACCACAAAAACTGCTCAGGAATGGTTCAAGGAACATGACAAAGAGCACAAGGCATCAACCTGGCCTCCAAATTCCCCAGATCCCCATATGATCAACATCTGTGGGACATGCTGGTACCCCACCTTACAACCCACATGATGCAGATTGGTCAAACTTCCTAGGAAGAGATCAATTTTAAGTGTTTTTCTAAAAATTCAAAATGGCAGAAAATCTATATAATATATATCTATATATAAGTTATGGGTTCTTGAGGCAAATTTGTGAGGAGAGGCATCTCTGTGCAAAGTTTCATGTCTCTACACTATACGGAGCATGAGATATGCCCATTCAGAGTTTGCAATTTCAATCGGTTTCTATAGCGCCCCCCTTTGGCCAACTGATGTAATATTGCTTCATTCACATCCTCCCATGACCCTCTAGCACTGTACCAAATTTCACATGGATTGACCAAGTCAGTGAGGAGAAAAACGTGGAACCAGTCACACACACCCACAGACAGAGAGTTTCATCATTATAAAGTAAGATAAGATATAGTAAGATATAGTAAGATGAGACAAGATTAACTGATTAGCTGATAGTTTTTTAAAACTCACTATGTTTGAATTTGCCTCCTTTCAGGCCTACAAAAAATTATTGTGCATCAAGGTAAAAAAGCATTAAATGAAGACAAACAAAACATGAATCAAGGGGTTTGTGTGATTACAGAGAGGATTATATGCAGTGGTGTAGTGGAGGGTATACTCAGGTATATGGGGTATCCCCACTTCTTTTTCTATCCAGTTACAGTATACCCACCTATCAGCTAAAAAGCCATCGTAATATATAGGAGAGTATGCCCACTTCCTCATCGGTAACCTGCCTATGTACCTAGCAGTACATCCACTGGAATTTTACCAGCTCTCATGACATGAGTGTGTATTAAATTTCAAGAATGCTAGCTCTGCTGGGAAAGCCTATTTCTCATGATTAATCAGTAATAATAAACACAATCCTAGATTTCTCTTTGACACTGTAGCAAGACTTGACTGTTAGCTTCTTATCTTTTTCGGCTCATAATTTTTTTTTACATTTCTTTTGCAGCAAGATCTAGTTTAGATATAAAATTAGTTCTTTGTCTCCAGCTTCATCTGTAAAATTGGCAATGCAATACTCATAGGCTGAATCCCACTCAGTTTTGAGACTTTGAAAATATTGTCTAGGCTGACATCAGCTTCTAGACCAGCCACTGCTTCCTTAATCCCCTACCAACGAAACTTTTTAAAGACCTCTGACAATTTCTGGGACTTACAATCAGAGGTGGGTAGAGTAGCCAAATATTGTACTCAAGTAAGAGTATTGATACTTTAGAACAATATTACTCAAGTAAAAGTAAAAAGTAGTCATCCAAATAATTACTTGAGTAAGAGTAAAAGAGTATTTGGTGAAAAAACTACTCAAGTACTGAGTAACTGTTGATTAACGTCTGATTTATTTGTAAAATAAGAACATGAACGTAATCAATCAATCAAAAATAATAATCTGCAAATTCATGTATTTTAAACGATACCCCTTTAACTAAAACAAAAATAAATTAAATCTTTATAAACATAACATAAATCAAGGCACAAGAAACACAAATATATTCTTATATATACTGTACTGTAGTTTAAGTACCTCGGGATCTTGTTCACGAGTGAGGGTAGGATGGAGCAGGAGATTGACAGGCGGATTGGGGCGGCGTCAGCAATGATGCGGACGCTTAACCGGTCCGTTGTGGTGAAAAGGGAGCTTAGCCAGAAAGCGAAGCTCTCGATTTACCGGTCGATCTACGTTCCAACCCTCACCTATGGTCATGAGCTCTGGGTAGTGACCGAAAGAACGAGATCGCGAGTACAAGAGGCCAAAATGAGTTTACTCCGCAGGGTGGCTGGGCTCAGCCTTAGAGATAGGGTGAGGAGCTCGGACATCCGGGAGGGACTCGGAGTAGAGCCGCTGCTCCTCCACATCGAGAGGAGCCAGTTGAGGTGGTTCGGGCATCTGGTAAGGATGCCTCCCGGACACCTCCCTTGGGAAGTATTTCGGGCATGTCCAACCGGGAGAAGACCTCGGGGCCGCCCCAGGACACGCTGGAGGGATTACATCGCCCGGCTGGCCTGGGAACGCCTCGGGGTTCCCTCGGAAGAGCTGACGGAGGTGGCTGGGGAGAGGACTGTCTGGGTTTCTTTGCTGAGGCTGCTGCCCCCGCGACCCAGACCCGGATAAGCGGAGGATGACGAGACGAGACAAGAGACTGTACATACATATACATATATATATATATATATATATATATATATATGTAATTATGTACTCAGAGGTAGGTAGAGTAGCCAAATATTGTACTCAAGTAAGAGTATTGTTGCTTTAAAACAATATAACTCATGTAAAAGTAAAAAGTATTTTGCATTAAAACTACTCAGAAAAGTACAATTTATCCAAAAAGTTACTCAAGTAGGCGGCACGGTGGTGTGGTGGTTAGCACTCTCGCCTCACAGCAAGAGGGTGGCCGGTTCGATCCTGGGTGTGGGAGCCCTTCTGTGCGGAGTTTGCATGTTCTCCCTGTGTCAGAGTGGGTTCTCTTCGGGCACTCCGGCTTCCTCCCACAGTCCAAAGACATGCAGATTGGGGACTAGGTTAATTGATAACTCTAAATTGTCAGTAGGTGTGAATGTGAGCGTGAATGGTTGTTTGTCTCTATGTGTGAGCCTTGCGATAGACTGGCGACCTGTCCAGGGTGTACTCCACCTCTCGCCCGATGTCAGCTGGGATAGGCTCCAGCCCCCCCGCGACCCTCAAGAGGATGAAGTGGTTAGAAGAAGATGAAGTTACTCAAGTAAATGTAACTGAGTATATGTAACTAATTACTACCCACCTCTGGTTACAATGCTTAATATTTTGTCAACTTGTTGTTTCCGCTAGACATCATTTTGATCCAGCGTCTCCAAATAATAATCCACCATGTCTCTAAACTTCCATTCTTTTCAAATGTACTGGATAGTGGTGTCTCAACAACTCTCAGACTATACATTTAATAGTTCTCTTTTTTAACCTTTTCAGTGTGCTTTCAGGGCCTGCTATGACAACAAAATGGTGCTAACTAAAATTGTAAATGATCTTCTCTTTACTGTAAACTCAGATTTCCCCTTGGTGCTTCTATTATGGGATTTCAGGGCAGGTTTTGACACTATTGATCACTGTTTTCTCCTTGAGTAATTACAAAAGAAAGCTGGCTTCTCTAGCTTGGCTCATTTATGTTTAAAATCTCATCTATCTAAAAGAACACAGGGTGTTTCCTTTAATAATTTAACATCAATATATTCTAATGTGAAATATGGAGTACCTCAGGGCTCTGTTCTTGGCTCTCTGCTCTTCTCTCTTTATATTTCTCCTCCTGGTCAAATTACATGTCGTCATTGAATTTATTTCCAATGCTACGCTGATGATACTCAGCTGTAGCAGCACCTAAATTATTTTAAAACTGAGACACTGGGGGTCAACATAGACATTAGTTTGATCAAGTAATGGTGACTCTAGAAACGTGCAATATCCCAAAGTCACACAGTCAAGAAGCTTGATATTACGTTATCAAGATCTCTAGCATAGCAAAATCAGGTCTCTTTATCCATGTCTCATGCTGTACCCTAAATAAGGCCTTTGTATCATCCAGAAGGGATCATTGTAACATTTTGTTGTCAGGCCTGTCACATTCTGAAAGTATTCAAACAGTTTAGAATGCTGCAGCTAGAGTCCTTACTAAACAAACCTGATTTTTTTTTCCACAGTACACAAGTTTCAGCTTCCCTCCATTAGCTCCAAATCCATGTCAGATCAGACTTCAAGGTCCTTATGATGACTCACAAAATTATTAATATGCAATTATTCTTTGATTTCATTCATTTTCCTATTTATTTGAATGATGTGCTTTAGTTCAGCCTATTGTGTGTTTGCATGGTCTGTCCACTTTCCAGGTTACTTGGTGGGGAGGAGGTTGTGTGGCATATGTTCTATCTGTCTGGCGACACCTGGAAGCTGCTTGACAGTCTCCTGAAATAATTTTATCCGAGTGAAGGGTCTCAGGCCAGAGAATGTCATATGTTCTACAGATTGTAAAGTCCCTAGAGGTAAATTTGTGTTTTTTTGATAATGGGATGTATAAGTAAAACTGACTGACTGGCCTGATTTTGATATGAGATTTTTTTTGTAATTTTCAATTTCAGTTTGTCCTCCTTTGGTGGAGGTATGACTGATTATCATGTACTTAGGGGAGATAGATTTAATATAACATTACTGTAATTGACAGGATCCTGGACTTTGGAGCTCTAATTATTGTAAATAATTTGATGAGTATGTTGATGCAACTAATGGCAGGGCTCGGCTTAGGGTTCACGCTGAGTATACCTAATGAAGTTGTTATATCAAAACATTAAAAACACCGTGCAGTGTGCAGATGTGAAGTCTTGAGAAAAAAAAAATACTCTCAGCAGCTTCAGACAACTATGGATGTTATCAGAACTTTAAGTTAAACTTAAATTTAAACTTTAAGCTACTATGAATTTTCCTGCATGAGTTTTCACTGTTCACTGTGCAGATTGTGTATACCTGAATGTTTGCTGGGAAGGGTTACCAGTTTGACACAAGCAATGCCTAATCCAGTTGACTTGACATGTATAAAACGATTATATGTCATGCATCATTTATCAGTCATACTTTGCAGCAAAAGATACTGATTCCTCCTGATCACAGCTTTATATGGATGGTAGTGAAGCATGCTTACCGGTACCTTCATTTTAAAGTCATCCCTGTGCAGCTTGATCCCAATGTCTGCTATAGCCCTCTGGAAGAACCTTGATGGCCTCAGCACTAACACCAGCTGCAGGTTTCCTGGAAACGCCCCCTAGATAACACAACATCATATCCATTTACAATACATTTACAAGCCATCCCATCATGTTCTTCACTCATTCATTCGGTCTTTTTCTTGAATCAGGCTGCACTAACGAGCAGGCAAGAACTGGGACCACAGTGACAGTGACAGACATGTGAATGGGTATGAATATACATGTGTCTTGTTGTGGTATGAAATCATCAAAAGGACAAAATTATAACAGCTCATTCTGAACACATTTCTGAACTTTAACATGTACTTTATCGATAAATGTATTTGATCGCTCTCAACATTAGATTTCTGTTGACTGAACTGCTTTTACCATCACAACACATTCTCATTCCCACCTCGTCACATATCAATGTCTGATCATGGAATTTCCACATCCAGATATGACGTGCAAGGTAACCTGTGTTGGTTGATGATGTTCTGGGATGCCTTGCCAACTTCAGCCTGTTATACATATTGGCTGTATCCAAAATACACTTCCATTTCACAAGAAATGTACAGTTTGCATACAGTCCCTTTCAAAATAAATGCACTTTGTCGATACAAGCATTGACATTTATTTCCTTCAACAACAAATGCACATGGTTATGTTTAGCCAACACATGATTGGGTTAAGGCAACAAAAACACATGATTGGGTTAAGAAAAAGAGAACAGGGTTTGGCTTTACATTCATACGAGAAACAAACACCGGCCACCGGTGGTTTTTGAACCCATTCACTACCCCTCCCACCAGCCCCCTTGACTTCAGTTGAACAATACTGGCAACCGGCTGCGTATGATTCCGTCATGAAAGGACAGCTTTTTTCATCAATGTCATTATCAATTTTAGATAAATAAAAATGATAAAGATTTTCAACATCTTAGGTATATATGGATTAATATGTCTTGGAGAACTTACAGCGATCCTGGATAGAGAGGCCTTCACTGAGCTCCATTTGTCCTTTCGCCGGTCGATGATGATAATGAAGCCGATACTGGCAGCATCCAGACTGGAGACAGGAGATAGAGAAGGCATGTAACTGAACTGCTGCTTTGTGCGTCTGTCTGTGTAAGGCATGCCAATGAAATTCCTTAAAACGATTTACTCTGCTTACTGATCCTGAAAATGCAGAGCTCGACTGAAGAGCAAACACATCTTGCACATTTTAAATAATCCACAAATAGGTTCACTACTATGTGGTTATTTGCAGAAATGTTGTATGTCTTTCATATTTCAGTTTTGTGTTTAAATGTTGAATATTCCTCAATTACTGTGCTTCATGGAAGCACCATGCTGATTTCCTGGGGTCAGGTAGGTTTTCAGGATAGAGAAACTACACACTAGACAGAGATTGGGTAAGAAGTGGAGCTTAATATGGGCCCTGCAGCTGAATTTTATCCCTGATGCCCCACAGCAGGTTACCCTGGCCATGCCACTAGTACAATAATCTTACATGGCTTAGTTCCTTCTATTAAGATGTAATGAGATGACTAGAAATGGCCCATTCAGTGTAAAATGAATAATCACATCCTGAGCTAGTTGCCATGTTCATCAATTAGAGTAAATTACATGAAAACATGTTTAATGTAATTCTGTAAAGGTGGTGCCTAAGAGGTTAAATGGAGGTCTTCATTACTGTCCAGTTTTGGCTAATGGATAACTTGAATAGTAATATTCTGATTATGTCAGGATAACCACAATAACAATTCACTTAATGTGTATGGGAGTGTGTACCTGGGTATGCTGGTCAAGTAGGTGGCAACATTGAGGAAGTCTTCCTCTGGCACTTCGCTGAAGCCTGAGTACTCTGGGAAGATAATGATGGGGGCGCCATCTTTCCCTCGCCCTCCTGCAAACACACACACACATAACATTTACTATTCTTTCTTCTTGCAGAAACTCACCCTTGGGTCTTACACTGTCTGACAATATCACATTTACTGTTATATCAGTAATGTCTGCAGGTGCCCAGTAGCTACATTTTTGTTTTCATTTCTTGTCTTGTACCCTTTGTTACTGGAGCAGGTATTTGGTATGACAGAGAACTTCCGATCACCCAGACAGACTGACCGGACCTAGCGCCACCAAGGGCAGTGTAAATGCCCCTGGAAGGGAGCAGTGATAAGAACTAGGCTGGCCCAGCTTGGTCCTAGGACTGTTTCACTACCCAGCCAGCTCCTGGCTGATGTCTTGTCACAGGAAAGTGGAATGAATGAAATAGAATTCAGACTGGCCAAACACCAGGGAGATCAGAGAATGTAGTGCCTATATCTTTGCAGAGATCTGGCTCCATCATGACATTCTGGATCAGGCTGTTGCGCAGTCCAACAGGTGGATTGTGTTTAATTCCAACAGAGCACAGGACTCCCGCGGACAAGGGGAGGTGCTCTTGGTGCTCAGGAGTAGTCAAGTTGATGGATAACGTTTCCCTGATGTTGTTTTTTTTTTGTTAAGATGCCGACCATATTACCTGCCCTGAGAATTCACCAGTGTTTTTATTGCTGCTGTATACATTCCTCCCATGTAATTTCAAAAAAGAGAAGGGTTTTTCTGCACACTGCGAGAGAGGGGCGTAATATGAAGGGGGGGCTTAACTTATTGCAGGGGATGTAAAAGTTGTCCAAATTACAGAGAACCACAAGAGATGCCAAAACAAGATGTCGGAATGATTGTGTAGAGTACAGTAGAAATATTTCCTGAGATAACTATTTAGCTGACAATCTATAAAAACTTAACCTACTTCACTTTGCATTGTCATTAAAGTGTGAAATATTTTTATGTTCTCAAGGGAAAAAAAATCATAGTAAGTAAGAAATTAATATTTTAATTGAATCGTTCTTATTGTATAGCTTATATAGAAAAGGCTGCTGATTATTTAAAAAAAAAAAAAAGGAAAAATAAAACCATGACACAGATGGGTTTGCCTTTTTGAGGACATATACAGCAAATGGCACTGATTGTAAATTAATGATATTCTTTTTTGTATCCTTTATCTTTGAACACAGGTATATTTTCAAGGTAGCAATCTGAATCACTCTATGGGCACCTCCATCCCAGGGGCCCAAGTGGAATCTCACTGACTGCGCTGTCTTTATTTATGCCCCTGCCCCTGGCTCACATTCTTTTTAAGTCGTGGGTCACTGTATCATGGCTGGATTGATGCTATCATAAGATGGTCTCTAGTTAAAAATTAGGTTTATAATGTGCCTTTGAGTGATATTGTACAGAGCGCCCTGTAGCCTCCAACTAACAACACAAGATGTTAGCTGGGGCAAATAACCTAAAATGTTAACCATCTCTCTATTATGCCATCTCCTCTTAATTATACCACCTGCAGGTAAAGGCGTGTGTATGCCTGGTCTGAAGTATGCTTGAAGTGTTCACATTCTCACTGCATATTCTTTGTTTATAAATACCTCTTTATGTGTGGGAAAACATGTACGCATGGTGTTTGTGCATCATCATTTATGCATCTGGCCTCGACTCTATGTGGTGAAATGACAGCCAGCAGCATTTCGATAAAAAAAAAAAAAAAAAAAAAAAAAGCCTTGCTTGATTTAAATTGATCAATCATGAACTCATCACATCTCACAGCTGGTAACCTGTGCACAAGAGGACCAAAACTACTGACTTAAGTCTGCTTCCCTTTGTTTAATGGTTTAATGAAACCACTGCTGCACATAAATAGAGTAAAAATATGTTAAAAAAAAATATATTAATTTTAATTTTGTGATAAAATATCATCTGCAAAAATCTGTTTTTAATCAAAGATTTTTTCGATCTGTTAATTATTAGTTGTACTCTTTTTTTCTTTATGCAAATACTGCATTTTACATGATCATTCAACACCATCTCTTTTTCTTCAAAGTTAATTTTTACTTAAAAATTTTTTTTCTTTATAATAGCTAATTGAAAATAGCTTTGAACAGATGGAAGAAAAGAAGAATGTTATAAACAGATGAAAGACTGAATGGCTTTGTAGGGTTGTGCACCTTTAAGAAAGACAGGGGTGAAACTTGTAGTTCTGCAGGCTGCAAACGGATTCTTCTGCCAGAAAATGCACTAAAGGAATGCTCTTCCGTTTTTGTTGTTGTTTTTGTTGTGTTCCTGTGCAGCATAAATAGACTACAACTGCATGTTGTTGCGCAGTCCTGTGTTTTACAATAACAATAAATGACCCTTGAACCTTCAGTATCAGCCTCTCCCATGAGTAATATGTCCCCCTTGTGATATGTCTTGATACTTAATTTTATACACATTTACAACAAATTCAGTTTAATTCTATGGCATTGTTCCAAACTAGAATTCTAAATAAAACTCTACTGGGTTTGAACATTTGTACAGATTGTCCTGCCAGTGGGACAGGATGTAGTTACATTTATGTCTAAAAAGTCAGAGAATATCTGTGAAGTTTACTTTGCATGAATATAATGTTTCACCTTTAATGTTTTGATTTTCAGTTTTAAGGGGGAAAAAACTCTTCACTTCTTCCAAAACATGATTGATTCCAGGATGAAGGAACAAATGTAAGATGTTGAATTTAAATAACCTAATCATGGTAAATGTTGGAAAACCTTCAAGACACAGATGTTCCCATCTTACTCTTCTGCTTCTACAAAACAGCCACAAGATGGCAATCTTGAGCTGAAAATCTTCCAGCACCTCACCTAAAACACTGTTAGAGATGGAGAGAACACTAGTGATGATGTGTTTAATTTGTGAAGAAATTCTTACCCAAAACTCCGTTTTTGGTCTGACACAGACACACACATCTCTCTGTCACCTACAGTCTCACCAATCATCTCTCAACCTCACACATTTAATTAACTAGCTGAAAAGTGAAAGTCGGTGGTTGTTGGACCCATCCACCACCCCTCCCACCTGCACTACTGGGACTTTTGCCCGCTTAACTTATGTTGTTGTCAGACTGCGTTTCACCCTGATGCTGCCGGGGGGCGTTACAGAATGACAGCAACCACCCATGTATTCATCGGTGTCTGACGCCGTGTCACTGACCAAGTACTGGTATTCGACTACTTCGAAATGAGACTGGGTTGTAGCATCACTACCTTTACCATAAAATGCAAATTCAACCATTTGATTGAGCATGACTTTAGACAATATATATATATATATATATATATGTAGAGAGAGAGAGAGAGAGAGAGAGATATCACTATACATATATAATGGATAACATGAAATGTATTATTTACAACTAGGAATCATCAGAAGTTTTTGTGTGTTTGTTTGTTTTGTTTTGTAGCAAATAGTAAATTTTATTGACATTAACCATTAGCTTAGCTTCACTACCTTTATCATAAAATGACAAATCATTAGACTTTTGTTTTTTGTATCAAGTTACAGAAATATTTTCCGTTAGACCTCTGGAACTACAACGTGGACAAAACATGCCTTCCTCTGAAAATCCCACCACACAAAGCCCTCATGTCTAAAATGACTTTTTCTGTTACTTTCTTCCTGTGGAAGGTAAACTGAAAAGGCACTAGTTAAAGACACAGCGACATCTAGTGGAGTTTTTTTTAGCATAGCATACCTAAACCAAATGGTAGAGGGGAGGGAAAAGGGAAAGGGAAATTTCGGTTTATTTCAACCCGTCTCCTATCATCCTAAATTTGTTTCAAGTGACTAGTGACATAAAAATAATAGTTAGCATGTTAGCCGTTAGCCTAGATACAGCTGGGGCGCATAGTAGCGTCAGACCTGTTAAAACGTAAGTGAACGGGCATACCTTCAAGTGCAAAGTTAGTCCACTAAACAAGCTTTTTCTCCACAAAGACCACCTCATATCGTTAGGATAAATGTCAGAGAACATATAGGAAACGACATGTAAACGTGTTGTCTTACCTTACCGGTGTGCTGCCATGTTTGTTTACCATTTAGCTCTGCTTTCCAAAGCGCGGCCAAAATATCGCAAGAACAAGCCGCGATCTCATACCGTGCCTGAAATCTCGCGAGAACAAGCAGCAACAGCTGGAAGGCAGAACCAGACAGTAGCCTGAAAAGTTCATTCATTTATTTTATGAAAGATTTATAGAATAATGGCTGACTTTTTGCCAGACTTCGACTTTGTGGAGGAGGAATTTGATTTTGCAGAGTTTGATGGCCGCCCTTATTTATCTGAGCCAGAATACACTGACAAAGAGCTTTGTGAAATTGAAGAATGGAGGAGGAGAGAGAGAGAGAGGCGCAACAAGTAGAGGACAAGAAAGGAGGAATGGCTGCTGCAAGGCTGCGTAGCTCTGGAGATTGGTGGTGTACCTGTGAATGCTGTGCCCCAGTGCCCACAGAAGAGGAATGCCTCTATTGCAAGGAATGGGACCGGTTGCAGCCTTATTTTCAAGGTCTGGATGTGACCAAGGACAAGACACCTCCACCTGGAGTAACGTTAGTATCCAGCTGGGCTTTATCTAGAGTATCGCGAGATTTCAGGCACAGTATGAGATCGCTGCTTGTTCTCGCAATATTTCGGCCGCTCTTTGGAAAGCAGAGCTAGATGGTATACAAACATGGCACCACACCGGTAAGGTAAGACAACACGTTTACATGTCGTTTTCTATATGTTCTCTGACATTTATCCTAACGATATGAGGTGGTCTTTGTGGAGAAAAAGCTTGTTTAGTGGACTAACTTTGCACTTGAAGTATGCCCGTTCACTTACGTTTTAACAGGTCTGATGCTACTATGCGCCCCGGTTGTATCTAGGCTAACGGCTAACATGCTAACTATTATTTTTATGTCACTAGTCACATGAAACAAATTTAGGACGATAGGAGATGGGTTGAAATAAACCAAAATTTCCCTTTAATCAGGTTGAGTTAGGTTCAA